GGCCGATGAAATAAATAAATCGGGAATCGGCGGTCATATGAAGCCAAAAGACCACGAGGAAGACCGCAAATGCGATTAAGCGACAATATTGAAAGAACTGCAGGGCCAATGTGGAAACTTCTTACAAACAACAGAGATGAATGACGAGAATTAGGAGAGGCCTATATTCGGCAATCCGAATAGAGAGAAGGGCTTAAAAAAATTGTATGCTTTTTACTTAACTTGTATTTCAGGCAAGCTTTTGTTCTTTATATTTTTCCTTCACTTCTGTGCAAAACCGTGCAGTTCTTAGCCTTGAGAACGATTTATTTTTATTTTTATGTCTTTCACCAAGAACTTCCTCAGCTGATTCTAAGTTATTTGACTTAAACTTTCTGTATCATCATAGCATCATACCATCACTTTCTGTAATGTGTACGTGTATTGTAATGCCCTAGAGTTCTATGAAAAATTTCAGTATAAATTTGTTATTAAAAGAATTATGTTTCGTTTTTGTATCATTTTGAGGTTATAAAAATTTTATTAAAAATATCAAGTATTTAAAATAATTTTTATTGTGTTTAAACGTAATGTATTAGAATCTGTTGTCACTATTCGAATGTACAGCTGTAAGATACCTCGAGAATCATGCGATTAATTGTTGAAATTCCATAAAAAGTTCGGTTTATTGAATATCGAATTGTCACTATTAATTACTTTAATTAGACTTTTTTATCTGCTCGTTGCAAAAACTAACAACATTCATGTCGTTCGGTTAGAAACAAGTAATTAAACACATAGTACCAATTTATTGTAAAATCGGAATCAATGAAACGGTTTGATGGCTACTTAAGTAACTATTACTTTAATTGGTAACGCTTTCCGGACTAGTAAGTGTTTCTTTTTTGGGTTATTTTTTTATTGTTTGCATATTCAAGTATATACAATTATTTTTTATACAGGATAGTACATGGAAAACACTGCTTTTGTATAGTGTTTATATGTCGAGTATTTCAACTCAGGCTTTCTAGATATCGTTTAGAACTCATGGTATGACCTTTTCCATATCAGCTTTTGCATCCTGTCTCCCTTCATTTATATTTATGTTATTATATATGTATATGTATTATATATATATATATATATATATATATATATATATATATATATATATAAGTAAACTTTAAATATTGGGTATGCAGCAATAAAAATGAAAGGTGTACTCTTTTAAATTTTTATTCCAAGCTTTCGGACATTGGTTATGTCCTTCATCAGGGAGAAACTTAATGAGGTTGTCTCATATATGATTTTATAAAAATTGTTGATAAAATTTATCACAGTCTGTTGAGCTAAAACCTATTCCTATATTTAAAATTTTTAAAAAATTACTTAACATTCACACAAACTTAATTATTTATATACAAATCTGTCATATATAGATTGTTTATATCATATATAGATTATTTAAAATTTTTAAAAAATTACTTAACATTCACACAAACTTAATTATTTATATACAAATCTATCATATATAGATTTGTATATAAATAATTAAGTTTGTGTGAATGTTAAGTAATTTTTTAAAAATTTTAAATATAGGAATAGGTTTTAGCTCAACAGACTGTGAGAAATTTTATCAACAATTTTTATAAAATCATATATGAGACAACCTCGTTAAGTTTCTCCCTGATGAAGGACATAACCAATGTCCGAAAGCTTGGAATAAAAATTTAAAAGAGTACACCTTTCATTTTTATTGCTGCATACCCAATATTTAAAGTTTACTTCCTTACGTGGTCAGCAAATACTTCTGGTTCATTATATATATATATATATATATATATATATATATATATATGAAACTTAGAGCTAAGATTAATATTATTACTAAAATTGATATCAAACTCACCAGTATTTCGGGTTGAACCGAGTCGATAGCCATTTTGCCGAGCTTTCGACATCCTCTCTGATGCCTTGCTCAGGGCTTCCGAGGTCTCAGTCTCCCGAGCCCCCAGACACTACTACACTATTCACTGATTACTGCATTGTCACTAGTAGTGACAGTAAATTTATAATGGATGAGAAAGAACTAAAATTGGTTGGAATAAAAGAAAAATATCCCAACTCAAATCCTGAAGATTTTTAACATTAACTAACGATTTTAGTAATCTTGTTTTACTATGTTTTAAATAAATATATATATATATATATATATATATATATATATATATATATATATATATATATATATATGTATATATATATATATAATGTATATGTATAGTGCTTACCTGTATAATTTCATTCACGTATTATTTGGAAAACTATTTCCTAATCATCAGATATCAATGAACTGTGTCCCACATTATAAAATATATGAAAGTAATTGAACATACAAGGTCAATATTGGAAACACAAAGAATATTGAAAGGTGTTATTAAAATCATTAACGACAAGTACCTAATCTAATTAAGATGTTAATCGTAATAAAGTATTATTTAACAAATAGTGCATGAATGAACAATTTCGTGTGTAGTGGTTTTGCTAAAATGAAGCAAATTCGAAAATGGCATAAGGAAAACAATGCATTTCGATATATTGTGGTGTTTTAAAATAAATCGAGCTATTCTTTCATGTATTTGTTGTCCTCCTTAACTTTTCTTCTGGTACCGTCTCCACTAATGAAGGTTGACCATAGTCCTCTTCTCTTCCGTTTCTTCATTTTAAATGGCCCTTAATATTCTTTCATCGGTGAGCATTCCTTGGGTGTCAATTTCTTGATGCTCATTCTCGAACCTCAGAATGGTAAATTTGAACTCAACTTTTTCCAAGAAAGTTGAATCAAAAGTTGTGAAATGAATGGCCAACAATTTGCCAAATTAAAAACGACGTCCTTGAGATTACCTTTCTTTAAAGCTACTACCAGATCCGTTCCACTTTACTCGTCACCAAGAATGTTGGAGAGTAAATCTTTTCGATAACGCCGTTTTGTGTTTTGTTTGACATTCTGGTCCATTGGTTGAATCATAGCTGTCGTGTTGTGTGGTAAAAAGAAGGCAAAAAGTTTACCATCTTTACTACGAAGTTCATCAGCTAATGAATGACTAAGACAGCTGTTCAGCAGCAACATTGCCCCCTGAGGGAGGTTCACACGTGCGAGATAGCGATGAACATCAGGGACGAATTTAGTTTTGAACCAATCCAAGAACAAATAAGTCACCTATGCACTTTTTTGCTCTCAATACTATACGGGAATATCAATAGATTTGAATGTACAAGGCTGGTTAGCCGTCTTCACAACAAACAAACGAAGTTTGTGAGTCCCTGAAGCATTTGCATAAAGCATAAAGGTGATTCTTCCTTTTATAATTTTTTGACCAGGGGCGTTCTTTTCTTGAGATGAGACCAATCTGTGGTTTGGTAACATGCGCCAAAATTACCCACTTTTATCTGCATTGTAAATTTGCTCAGGTATTAAATTGTTTTTAATCACAGGTCCTTCAAATGCAGTTACTTTGTTTCACCACCCACCGGAACATGCTTTCTCCGTTGTTGTAGGAACCATATAAACAAAGCACTGTCTACCTTCGGATATTCCGGGGTTTGATGGCTTTTCTCTTGAAAGCTTCTCATGAAATGATCTTTCAAAGACTGAAACTGGGTTTTGCTCTTTTGGGTTAACATAAAAATACAGTGTCGTCAAAAGGTTTTAAATTTAAAGAAATTGAAATGTCACGCAACTAATTAGGAAGATGTACCATGAAAAAATTGAATGTTACTTAATTTTTTTATCAGCAAAAATTCATAATTTTTTTAACGGCTTATGTTAAAGACATTGTTTGCAAAATATTTCGTTTTTTATTTTTCTTTGTGGTTTTAATATTCAAAAATCCATTCCCCTTGGTGTAAAAACCTTATAATTAAAATTATAGTCATCCTTTTATAACACAATACTTTCACAATACAAAAATTTCTTCTAATATAACAAGAAAATGCTACTGTAACAACTGCAATAAAATTTACCGTAATTTTTTTTCAATTCTGCACTGGGTTTTCTTCAAATCACATATTTCTTGTGGTTTATATAACTATTTTATCTAGTTTAGATTATTGCCTTAAAATATAATGACGAAACCGAGAAAACATAGAAATGTTTCTAGACTAGAATGAAAATTATAAATATTAAATGCAATAAATAAAAATACAAAAATATGCGTATTTTGGTTTCATATCCTTATTGTGAAAGGTATTCGTTAGTTAACAATGAAAGTCAGAATTGATTAACAAATTTGAAGAAATGGTTTCATTTAATTGATGCACCGACAATTAGCACAAATATTATTCAAATTAACGGTTAAATTAGTACAAAATAGAAAAGAATAAACGAATCTTGGTTGTTGACCTCCATTGAGGTGAAGGATGGTGGAATAAAAACTATATTTTTTCAGATATCAGTGAAAATGGAATGATATTTGACATAGGGTCCTTATGAATTTCTGTTAACTTAAATACTGTCTTTTTCTTGGGTGTTTTCCTAAGTATCATGGTCACTGTGTTATATAGGGATACAGCGTTCTTTGTACAGAGTAAGGTACCTGAATACAATATGCCCATGTTGGTAATATGCCCATTTCCATGTTTTGCTTTAATATTTGATATTCGGGAAAGAAGGCGCTGGACACACTGAACGCCTAATATAACTAGGCCCGTGACCGACCTCAAGGTTAGTTGTGAGCTTGCCGTGGTGCATTCAAGTTGTACGTGGTTTTTAAGAGCGTCTTTATAAAAATTGACGTCAGTTTTCACCTCTGTTTTGCACTTAAACGTTTTAACCCTTCTGTGTTTGCCTAGCAACACAACTCATGAACTCCAGCCGATGGACAAAGCTGTGTTTGTGAACACCACTGGGACGAACAAGTGTTGTTGTATTGGACAAAATACAAAGAACGTGCTTTAACAAAGCAGCGATTTGGGGAAATATTTTCGATAGTGTGGAACAGGAATATTTCCTTATAACCCCGATGCTATACCTGAAGTTGCTTTTGCCTCAAGTATTTTATCAGAAATTGAGAACATTGATCCCACTCCCATTAATGTACGCCAGAAAACACTGTTCATATAACTCCTCTCAACAAAAAAGGGTACCAAACTATCAAAAGACCCAAGATTACAAAAAAAAGACATCTAGAACTGAAACATCATCAAGTGATAGTGATAGCGGACCCATTAATCTGCACCAGAAAACTCCACCACCAACTGCAGACTATTCAAAAAGCTCTTCCCAACAAAACTGTTTGCCACAATACCAAAAGACGCCAATTCACATGAAAAAGAAGTCTAAAACACAAACTTCATCAAGTGAGAATTCTGGCAGTTATACTTCGGAATCAGAAGACAGCGGCGAAGAAGTTGAATTGTCAATAAATCAGTTTCATAAAAAAAAGGAAACTTTCCTTATGAATTTTGAAAAAAATGATTTGGAGGTTTATAACAAAGAGAATAACAATCTTCGAGAAGAAAAAAGTAATACTGAAGAAATAAAAACTTGCCGGGCCAAAACTTTGGACACATCGTTTACAGAAATGCTTGAGACTCCAGCAAAAATTGAGAAAAAAAATACACAAAATAGAAAGAAGGCAATAAATAGCAGAGCTATAGTGGTAAAAAAAAATGTATTTTCTACCACTAGCACAGGTCCACGAACAGATATAAATAAAGGCACGAAACAAACTCTACCAGGTTGTTTGGTAAAGAAAAACAAAAAATCAGAAGACGTAGCAAAATGGTTTTGCAAAATTTGCGACAAAGCTGAAATAAAAGACATGCGACTATGTTTTATATGTGTACAGTACGTTCATGAAGAATGTGTACAATGTGTAGGGCTGACAAAATTCGATAAGGAATCCTTTACCTGTCCTGATTGTACCCCACAATAATGTTCCTTAATTTTAAGTTATTTCAGTTAAAAATTCTTTATTTTGACATTTTAGTTTTTACAAAAAGGATTGTTTAATATCTTTGTTTGGTTAAATGTTTTTTATAGTGTCAATAAATATAAGATTTTGTAAGTATATGATGTTTTTTAATATTTATTTCCACATCATTTAGTGTTTTAGGTAAGCGCATATAACCTTCACTCGACTGGGCATATTACCTTCAGGGGTTGACAATATGCCCAGATTGAGGGCTTTAAAAAAAAATTCGATATGAAAAAAAATAATTGCCAAACAATAAAAAAACTAGCGATGTTTAAACACCTAAACATTGGTATAGTGTTAAAAACTATATGAAAAATATATTTTTGTAGCAATAAATTCAAAATTCCCTTAACATGGGCATATTGTATTCAGTTACCTTATATCGGAATAAAAGGAAAAGAGAGTTAAAATTTGATTTCACATATAGTGCGTCCTTGTAGCCGCTTATACATATTTCGTCCTAAAAGGGCTCTTCAGAACGGCTATTTATCTTAGAAATACTACATATTAATGAAACGACCTTGCGGAATGCACACGAATGATAAAGTAGCAGTCAAAATATCAAAATCTAAAGTACAAGACACTAAAAATTATAGGTTGTTATGGCGGGACAAGAATATCAACCAAAATAAATAAAAAGACAATTATTCAAACTTAGAAGAGAATAAGAAAATTAGCAACAGCATAAGTTATGGTAATTGCTGACATATGAATTTCATAGAGTAATATACTGGGCAACGAAAATAAATAGAGCTACAAACTAACAAAACATTTTGAGCGTATAGTCGTTAAATATTTCAGAAAAAGTTATAAATACAACAAGTTACGCTGTAACTGAAATAAAAAGTACAAAGCACTACAAGATTCAAAAGTTCCTCAAGAACAACATAATGATCGTCATCAAAGACACAGTTAGAATTTTCAGTGTCTTTTTAAAACTATAATGAAAGAGGATAAGAGGAGTTTATGAAAACCAATGTTTGCTATATTCCTTTTCTGTGAAAAGTTATACTTGTACAGTGGTACCTCAACATACGAGTGTAATTCGTTCGGTAATCTTGCTCGTATGTCAAATTGCTCGTATGTTGTAGCAATTTTCCCCATTGAAATTAACTGAACTGTCATTAATTCGTTCCAGTCTCCAAAAAAAATACGTTAGTTGTTTTTGTTTTGAAGTGTTTTTTTGAAATAAGAAAAATGTATTTAAAAGAAGAAACATTTATTTATAAGTAACACAAAAACATACATATAAAACATAAGAAAAAGTGAAGTGCTCACGGAAGCGCTTAATTTTCGTCACTGGTCTTCGCTTTTTTCGTCACACTACTCGTTTTCATCTGCAGATCGCTTAAAAAAACTGTCCAAGGAGGTTTGTTTCTTCCTCCCTTTCAGAATATTGCGGAAATGTGTTAGGCAAGTTTTGTTGAACAACACCAATGCACGACCAGTTGTAACTTTTTCGGGGTGATTTTTATCCACGAACTATGTAACTTTCTACCACATTCCAAGGATCTCCCTTATATCTCTTGTAGAGACAATGTCTTCCAATTCTGGCTCCTCTTCAAAACTAATTTTTTGTTGAACCACCGTATGTTGCTGGGATTGTAGCTCGTCTAACTCCTCGGTTGTCAGCTCCTGAGACTGTTCCTCGACAAGTCCGTTCACATTACTTTCATCCACCTCCAGACCCATGGATTTTCCAAAAGAAACAATCTCATCTACCACTGACACTTCCGGTTCCAGTCCTTAGCAGGCACTTTTATCTACTGCCTAAGGCCACAGCTTCTCCCATGCAGAGTTTAAGGTCCTTGTTGTAACATCTAGTCAGGCCTACTCAATAATTCTTAGGCATATTACTATGTTAAAGTGGTCCTTCCAGATATCTCAAAGGATAAGGTTTGTGTTCTCCGTCACCTCAAAGCAGCTCCTAGAATGTGCTTGGTATACAACTTCTTAAAATTAGAATTTACTTGCTAATCCGTGGGCTCCAAGATAGGAGTGGTGTTGGCTGGTAGGTGAAGAATAGTTATAAACTGTTGGAGTAAATCATCTTCGAGATTTGGTAGGTGAGAAGGGGCATTATCGAGGTCAAAAAGGATTTGCATGGGTAGGTTTTTTTTGCTGTAGATATTTTTTAACAGAATGGGCAAATACCATTTTTATCCACTTCACAAAGAATTTCCTGGTGACCCACGCCTTTGTCCTCCACATACTGGCAGTTTTTCTTATAAAATCCTATGTGACTTAAAGGCTCTGGGATTTTCTGAATGGTTTAAGGTTTGATTTTTATAGTCGCCACTGGCATTGGCGCAAAGTAGTAGAGTTAATCTATCTTTCATAGGTTTGTGACCTGGCATTGTCTTTTCCTCTGCCATTATGTAAGTCATATTCGGCACCTTTTTTCCATAAAAGCCCTGCCTCGTCATAGTTGAAAACTTGCTGGGGGATATATCATTTGGCTTCTATCAGTTCGGAAAACGTTTTGATGTAAACCTCAGCTGCTTTAACATCCGAATTTGCTGCCTCACCATGCCTGACAATGGAGTGAATGCTGTTTCTTTTTGTGTGTGGGAACTGCTTCAGCTAAATCTTTATAAATCGATCGTACCTTCTCACGTATGATGCTTTGTGTTAAAGGTTTCTCCTTGAAGCTGCTTCTGTGTCACCCACACCATTAATAGTTTCTCCATCTTTTCATGGAGAGAAGTCCGGAGCTTAGAAAATTATTGTAACGCCCTTATATTATTGATGTGGTACGCCCCTACATCCTCGCCAAGTCAGTTACTAGTAAACCTTGCTCACGTTTTTTAATGATTTCATGTTTTATTTCAATAGACATCGCCTTTTTCTTCGAACCCATGGTTGTAAAAATAAATGTAATATTTATACAAAAAGCACAAAACCTGAACTCAATTTATCAACAATACTTCAAAAATTAGGGAAACAAGCAAAGCAGACAGACTGAGGTCGGTGTAAATTACACCGACATCGAGAATGCAATATGGTTAGTATTAGAATCCGAATTTTTGTCGGATTTAACTTCCAATGACCATTTAATTTGTCGGTCCAAATTACGGTTACAGACCCGTAAAATGATTTTTATTGCGAGGCCGTGAAGATCTATTACCAGTAAAACTACCTTTTATCTACAAAGCAAATTCATCATCATCATCATCATCATCCAGCCTCTTTTTATCACGTCCACTGCTGGACATATTCCTCCCTTAAACTCCTCCATTCCTCACGATTTTGTGCTCTTTGTTGCCAATTTTTAGTGATACGCCTGATGTCGTCGGCCCAACGTGTAGGTGGTCTTCCTCTACTGCGTTTGTCTGCTCTTGGCCTCAAATTTGTAATTTTGCTCGTCCATCGTGAATCGTGCATTCTCGCTACATGGCCTGCCCAGTTCCATTTTAGTTCCGCTATGCGTTCCACAACATCAGTAATACTCGTCCTTCTTCGCAGATCTTCGTTATTCGGTCCCTCAACGTCACTCCCAGCATAGACCGTTCCATTCGTCTCTGTGCCACTCTCAGTTTTGAAGCCGTGGTCTTGGTTAAAGTCATAGTTTCCGCCCCATAGGCCATGACCGATAATACGCATTGATCAAACACTTTTCTTTTGAGGCTGATTGGTATGTTGGCCCTAAGTGTGTCTCGCAGTTTTCCAAAGGCTACCCATGTTAAAGTAATTCGTCTTTGGATCTCACATGTTTGGTTATCCCTGCTGATTCTTATTTCATGACCCAAATACGTATATTTCTCCACCAGTTCTACCACTTTGTCTTGAATAGTCAAATGGTTATTGGGGACCAAATTTGTCATAAACTTAGTTTTGGTCAAGTTCATTCTCAGGCCCACCTTCGAACATGCAAAATCCAATTCGTTTATCATATCTGTAGCTTCTCCTAAATTATCTGTGATAAGGACAATGTCATCTGCGAAACGGAGATGGTTAAGCTTTTCGCCGTCTATCGTTACTCCTCTGTGGTCCCAATTGATCATCTTAAAGGCATATTCTAATGCCGTTATGAATAATTTCGGCGACAATGTATCTCCTTGCCTTATTCCACGATTTATTTTTATTGGTCGGGTTTTATTGTCTATTTTAACAGTCATAGTGGCATTTTTGTAAATATTATAAATAAGCTCACTATACCTATGGTCAATCCTGCTGTCATTCATTGCTTCTATAAGGCTGTCTAATTCGATCGTGTCGAACGCTTTATGAAAATCTATGAAAGTGAGAACAAGAGGTTTGTTATATTTTATAGATTTTTCAATGAGTGTCTGTACTGTGTGGAGGTCATCATTGGTACCATAATTTGAGCGGAATCCTGCCTGCTCTCTCGGTTGATAGAAATCTAATTTTTTCTCCAATCTTGATGTCACTACCCTAGTGAAGAGCTTGTATATGTGGTTCAACAGGCTAATAGGTCTATAATTTTCTAGGTCCGTTCTATCTCCTTTTTTATGCAAAAGGATGGTTGTAGTATTGTTCCACTCTTTGGGCACCTCTCTTTGCTGCAAACATAGATTGAATAGTTTCCTTGATTTATTTAATAGCATATCTCTTCCATTTACGATAGCTTCTATTACGATTCCATCCTCTCCTGGGGCTTTGTTATTTTTCATTTTTCTTAATGCTTGTCGAATTCATCTAGCTTTATCTCTGGCATTAGTTCGGAACCTTGATTCTTAATCTTCTTTGAAATGGCTGTTTGTATTCCTGTTTTATCTTCTCGTCTACTTCTATATAAGTCCTCGTAAAACTCTTCGACGACCTGTATTAACTCGTCTCTACGTTTTATTATTTCATTTTGCTTGTTTCTTAATTTATGAATTTCGCATTTCCCATTCGTTAGCTTTCTACGTAGAACTTTTAGGCTGTTATTTTCCTCTATAGTGCGTTTAATATAATCGGTATTAAATTTCCTTAAATCTCTCCTAATTGCTTTC